CATGGTTCATCGGCCGTTACGTGAGAGCGATAAAGTAAGTCATAGAAATCCGTGCGATAGAGAAAGATGGCTATAATGAAGGCGTCTTATAGTCACCGCCCATTTCGCCTTTCCACAAATAAGAAGTGGATCTTATTTGTGGAAGGGCGAAACGGGTGGTGACTATGAGAGGCCTTCATTATAGCCATCCTTCTCTATCGCATGGATTTCTATGGCTTACTTTATCACTCTCACGTAACTTCAGATAGACCATCGGTACTTTCCTACCCTGTATACAAGATGTTCCTTACGAATATAATTGACATCTGCTTTTCTATTTTTTTTTTTGACACAAACATTAAATTCCTTATTGAAATTTGGGTACAATCTACTCGTAGACCAGGCGGGATCTGTTTTGGTGTAGATGTTTTATATAATAACGCTAATTTTTGCTTTAATGGCTCCAAAATGATATAACAAAACATAATTTCACTATGCGCGCGCTTCAAAACGTGCGCTAAACTTATTATTAAACAAATAGTGAAAAAATTGGAAAAAATTCCATTTTATTTCTCTTTTTTTCAACACAGTTCAAAAACTATTCATTTTAGAGAAAAATTGAAGAGGAAAAAAAATCGTAATTAAATTTTACACATAACTGGAACCAACGAATCACCACGTTTTTTTTTTAAGAGAAGCGTGTTTCCGAGTACTTTAAAAGCATAATTTTTTTTAAAATAATTAAAATGAATTTATAAAGTTATTCTATTTGTTTATAAGCGCAAAAATTACGATTTTTTTTCACTTTTTTTTGTTGTTTTTGCTATATTTGCAATAATTATTTTTTTATGTTATATTTACTTGAAAATAGGTATATCATGTGTAAAATTTAATTACGAATCTTTTTTTCCTCTTCAATGTTTCCCTAAAACGAATATTATTTGAACTCTGTTGAAGAAAAGAGAAAAAAAAGGATTGTTTAGTAATAAGTTTAGCACAAGTTTTGAAGCGTGCGCATAGTGAAATTATGTTTTGTTATATCATTTTAGCGCCATTAAAGCAAAAATTAGCGATACTATCCAATACATCCATACATGGGTGTTTTGAAACAGATCCCGCTTGGTATATCATAATATTTCTGCAAGATCCACTTAAAACTCGTACCTATATGTTACGTAATATAAAGAATATACATTTTATCTCAGGTTTCATTTGTATAAGATAAATTCAAACGCGCAATTTTGTACACGATTAATATTTTGTGTATCTCTGGCACAATTCCTCCATTTGACTATAATAAATTGGGTTACCCTGCCGCAATTTTCTGAATCAGACTGTTTCTA